AGCTGTAAAGGAATGGCATTGCTCTGGTGAAACCCTTCCGTGTTTCCGTGGAAAGGTTTTCTCCGCAGGAGTGAAGTTGATGAAGAACCCTGCTTTCTCTAGAAATCAGTGATTTTCATAAAATAACGGGAAGAGAGGAGATGGGCCATCTATTTCATCAAGATGTATTTCTAGGAGGTTTACATTGAGTATTTAATAGTTACTGTATTTGCAATATACTTATGCTTCAGTTTTTTATTGTTTTAGATGTATTTATTTGAGAGGCAGAATGAGGGAGAGGGAGAGGGAGAGGGAGAGAGATCTCCTATCTACTGGTCCAGTCCCCAAATGACTGCAACAGCCAGAGCTGGGCCAATCCAAATCCAGGAGCCAGGCATCTTATCCAGGTCTCCCATGTGGGTGCAGGGGCCCAAGTACTTGGGCCCTCCTCTGCTGCTTTCCCAGGTGTGTTAGCAGGAGAGCTGAATCAGAAGTGGAGCAGCTGGGACTTGAACTGGTGCCCCTATAGAATGCTGGCATTGCAGGTGGCCACTTCACCCACTGTGCCACAGTGCTGGCCCCCCTATGCTTCCGTTCTGTGTTCATAGTACTTGTAATGAACATTTGGACTTGAAGAAAACTTTTAAATTAATGCTTTAGATTATAGGGAATTTCGTAAGCAGTAGATCAATTTATGTGTGTATTTTCTTGCAAAGAAATGTGATAGGGTGATCAGTGAAAGATTTTAGGGCACAAACACCAATTATATCTGGGGAAAAAAATGAGAGTTGCTGTGGTTTGAATATGATTTTTCCAAAGCTTACTTTGGAAAAACGAACAGCCAAAGGTAGCTGTTCGGTGTAGTGGTTCAGATGTCCACTTCCCATCTTGTAGTGCCTGGGTTCAGGTCCTTGCTCTGCTTCCGATTCCAATTCCTTGATGACCCAAGTACTCGGGTCTCTGCTACGTGTGTGGAAGACCTGGACTGAGTTCCAGGCATCTGGCGTCGGCCTGATCCAGTCCTGGCTGTTGTGGGTATTCCGGGAGAGAACCAGCAGATGGAAGTTCTCTCTGTTTTTCTCTCTCTGCCTTTCGAATGAATGAATAAATCAAAGTTAAAACTCATTTGTCATTGAGGTGGTGTTGGGAGGGCTTTTAAGAGGTTATGAGCTCCTTAAGAGGGATTCATGCTTTTCTTAAAAGCCTGGTACTAGGGTAATTCTCTTGGTGGTAGGTAGATTCTTGTTGTAGAGGGCCTGCATCAGTTTCAGGATGTGAGTTTTTACAAAGCTAGACTGCCCCTTCTGTTTTGCCTCTTACCCGTGTACCTACTCTCTGCCAGGAGTCAGAGCAACCCACAGCTCTTGCCAGTGCTGTGCTTTATTATTTCTTCTACTTTAGCATTAGTTTTTCTGTTTCTTATTTCTTGATAGGAGTTCTTGAGAAGGATGTTTACCTGCTAGTCAGTTACTCAGGGAAGCCTGTTGAAAATTCACTGATTGCAGGTTGGACAGTGTATGTTCTTGCTTCTGGCAGTTTTTTCTTTGTATACGTTAGGGCTGTCTTTGTATGCATTATGCCGATTTAGAGTCTTTATGACGTTGTAGTAGATTTTCTTTTTTATTATTATACAGTGACCTTTTAGCTTGAATCATTTTTTCCCCTTAGATCTCCTTTGCCAGATATTGGGGTAACTTCCCAAGTTTCCTTTTGGTTAGTGTTTGCATCACTTTTGCCCTTTTACTTTAGCCATTGTGCATGCCCGTATATTTTAAAATATTACTTGTAAGCAGTACAAAATGAGCTTGAAAAATCTGTTCTCATGATCTTCTGCCTGAGTAATTTGCTTGAGTGTTTCTTTTTTTTTTATATAAAAACTTAGGTGTTTTTATTTATTTTTTGAAAGAGAGAGAGAGAGAAGATAGAGGTAGATAGTTTTCATCCTTTAGTTCATTTCCCAAATTCTTGTGACAGGACTGAGCCAGGCCAAAGACTGGAACCTAGAACTCAATCTGGGTTTCCCATGTGGGCAGCAGGGAACCCAGATTCTTGAGCCACCCACCCTCTGCTGCTTCCCAGGGTGCATATTCATAGGAAGGGGGTTGGGAAGTGGAGGAGCTGGAACTCCAACCACGTGCTGCGTGATAGGAGATGGGGCATCCCAAGTGGCAACTTAACTGCTGTGCCAGATGCCCGGCTGAAGCATTGCTTTTGTTATGAGCCTCCTGCTGTGTGTGTGTGTGTGTGTGTGTGTGTGTGTGTGTATAAAAATGTACATCATATTTGAAGAATCAGCTTGCTTAATTGGAAATTCTAGATTGGTAGTTCAGTGGTCCCCCTTGCCTGCAGAGGGTATGTTCTGAGAGTCAGTGAGTATCTGAACAGCTGGATAGTACCATTCCTGCATGTCGAGGAAACTCTGTATATGCATGTGCCTCGAAAAATTTTTGCACCAAAATAAGCTTATCTTTTAATTCCATTTTTCTACAGATTTTTTTGTTATTTATTTATTTATTTGAAAGAATTATAGGGAGAGACAGAGATCTTGATTTTTGATTAATTTTTAATTAAAAATTTTTGTAGTTGTCATCTTATTTATGTATATTTTTTTTTATTTGAGAGATACATAGAGGTTACATTTGCTAATTCACTCCCCAAATGCTTGTAACTGCCAGGGTGCCAGGAGGGGGCCATGCTGAAGCCAGGAAGCCTGGATCTCCCTCTGGGTCTCTCATGTGAGTGGCAGGGGCCCAAGTACTTGAATTTCCCTGATGATTAGTGTTCTTGAGCATTTGTTTTATCATATACCTATTTGGTCATTCATGTGTCTTCATCTTTTTTTTTTTAAGATTTATTTTATTTATTTGAAAGGCAGAGTTACAGAGAGGCAGAGGCAGAGGCAGAGGCAGAGAGAGAGAGAGAGAGAGAGAGAGAGAGAGAGGTCAGTCGGTCGGTCTTCCATCCACTTGTTCACTCCCCAGATGGTTGCAATGGCCAGAGCTGTCCTGGTCTGAAGCCAGGAGCCAGGAACTTTCTCTGGGTCTCCCACTTGGGTGTAGGGGCCCAAGGATTTGGGCCATCTTCTACTGCTTTCTTAGGCCACAGCAGAGAGTTGGAATGGAAATCGAGCAGCCAGGACTCAAAACTGGCACCTGTATGGGATGCCGGCACTGCAAGCAGCGGCTTCACCCACTATGCCATAGCGTTGGCCCCTTGTATACCTGCTTTTTAAGAAATGTCTATTCAAGTTTTTTGCCCATTTTAAAATTTGGCTATTTTGTTGGCATTGAGTTGAGTTCCTCATATATTTTGGATGTTTTCCTTTATCACCCATGTAGTTTGTTAATACTTTCTTCCATTCTGTAAGTTGTTAGGCTCACTCTCTAGTTTGCTTTGCAGAAGCTTTTTAGTTTGGTTTAATCCCACTTACCTAGTTTTGCTTTTGTTAGCACTCTTGTTTAAAAATTTGTGTGAGTGATTATCTTGAATATCTTTCTATTATTGTATTTTCCTTGAGTGTTATTATTTGATTTATCTGTATTTATACTCTTAAGCTTCTTTTTTGTGCTACATATATAATATTCTGTTGTATAAATTTGTCCTAGTTTTATTTATTCAATTGGTGGATATTTTGCTTCTTTCTTTTTTTTTTTTTTGCTATTTTTATATGTTGCATTGAATATTATTTAATGGATTCTCTTGGGTGTATGTTTGCGAGGATTTCTAGGGTATACAAGTTTATACGTAAGCACTGATGGTATGTTCCTTGTCCACTCTGGTTCTCACTCTCCCTGGAAGTATGTGATATCAGAAAGCCCGGTTCTGGATATTATATATTGTTGTGATTATTTTATTGTAGACTAACTGGAGAATACAGAGCTGAGTGTATGCCTTCTAGTGTACTGTAATTTTACCTTGTTGTTTGTTTATATAAATGGGGACCAACCTTTCCTTAGATCGTCAGTTTTATTAAAACAACTGTCTTTGTTGACCTCAGTTAATTATCCTATAAAGAATTCCATATGTTTGTTCCTACAAGGAATCCCATATGTTTGTTTTTTCTCTGTTGCAAAGTTATCTTCTGTAATAAAATCATGATTATGCAGTTGCCAGTTCACACTTGAAAGTGAGCTTTTCTCAGATGTGACCACAGTCCTCTGGGTGGACAGCCACGGTGGCACCGGAGTCTCAAGCACTGAAACGCGATATGCGTTTGCCCTGATGGGCAGTGAGCAATTGTAGGTAGAACTCATGGCGTCTTTTTAAGAACAAAGGAGCTGGCCCCAACTTAGAGACAGTTAATGTCAACATTAATGCATTTATGTGTACTTTTAAATGAATAAATATTTGAAACTTTCTTGGTTTCAGTTTCCAATAGAATAGCTGTTGATTGTTATAATCCAAATGTAGTCTCTGCCTCTCAGAGTTTGAACAGGTCCTAAGGTCAGAAGTTTTGAGAAGGATCTGTGCTGCAGTATATTAGCTTGGGCCTCCATCTGCGGTGCCACCGGCATCCAATGTGGGCATCAGTTTGAGTCCTGGCTGCTTCATTTAGGATCCAGCTCCCTGCTGGAGGCATGGGAGCGCAGTGGAGGATGGCTCTAGTGCCTCAAGACCTGGGTGAAGCTCTTGACTCCAGGCTTCCGATTGGCCCAGCTCCAGCCGTTGCCACCATTTGGAGAGTGAATCAGCTGATAGAATACCTCTCTTTCTCTCTGTCTCTGCCTGTCTGAAAGTCTGCCTTTTGAATAAATAAGTAAATCTTTAAAAAAAAACCCAAGAGGGAAAAAAAAAGAGGGTTGAGAAGCACTGCTTTAATCACATGGAAGATGTTATGAACAAAAAGGTAATTTATTCTTGCTGGAGACAGTCATCATGATGGAGAACTGGGTAGTATAATTTCTTTAAAAGGTGAATTCAGCTGAACTTCAAGTTATATATCACTTTTAAGGAAATTTTTAATTCTTTGCCTTACAACCTTGTTTATAACAGGATTATATTTGTAATTAAATACTTTGCAGGTGCTGACCTTAAGGAAAGAGCCAAAATGAGTTCCAGTGAAGTTGGTCCTTTTGTCTCCAAAATCCGAGCAGTGATTAATGATATCGGTAAGCACACTTGCATTCTCTGTTCAGTATGAAGATAATCTTAAATGTCAGATTTTAAAAGTTACCCACTATCCTTATATATAAGTTTTTGTCAGATACTTATATAGTTATATAACCATGATGTGCATGGTTATATATAATTTTATAATTATGATAACTTCTGTATGATGGGATGGCATATATGAGTACTTATTTGAAAACAGAATAGTTTGACCTAAGCCTTTGCCCTAAAAATAGCTCTTTCTCATACACAAGAACATACACAAACATATGAACTTGGATTTTTTATTTTCTTTTGTGTAAATAGAATCATATTATTTCATTAACATTACCAGATATATCAATTTATTATTATTACTTTATAACCTACTGCTGCATACTAATTCGTAGTCATTTTTAAAAAGTAGTAATTTATTCTATTTATTTGAAAGGCAGAGAAAGAGATGAGATCTCCCATCTGCTGCTTTGCTCCTGTTGGGCCCATGGTAGCTGGGGCCAGGTGAGGTCAAAACAGGAGCTAGGAGCTCAGTCAGGTCATCCACAGGGGTGATAGGACCCAACTGCCTGAGCCATTACTACTGTCTCCCAGAGTCTGCATTAGCAGGAAACTGGAATTGGAATTGGAGCCTGGACTTGAACCCACGCACTCCTTGGGGATGCAGGAGTCCCAAGCTATGTCTAAACCATTACGCCTGATCCACTAATCCCTAGTCTTACCCAAAATATTTAATTCTTTGTTAATGAACATTTAGATTTTCTTAAAAAAACTGTTTTTGTTGTTTACACTAAAGCAGTGAATATCCTTGTATAATGATTCCTAAACATAGAGTTGCTTTTCCAAGTATCATATATTAATATTATATTTTAATAAATCCTAGCTAATTGCATTCCAAAAACATTGTAATAATTTATATTCTCATTAATTATATGACAGTATCTGTTCCATCATACTCCTGTTAGCATTCAGTGTTGCTGTTTTTAAAAAATATTTATTTATTTGAAAGGCAGAGAGACAGAGAGAAGACGCAGAGTGAGAGAGAAAGCTTCCATCTGCTTGTTCATTCCCCAGATACCTGCAACAGCCAGGTCTTGGCCAGGCTGAAGCCAAGACTCAGGTCTTAACCCACTGTGCCTCAACACCAGCCCCTACCTCATTTCATTCTGTGCTGGTATATTATCCAAGGCCCTTCTTTGCTTTTGTCTCCAACATCCAGCTTATTATATTCAAATGTCTTGAGCTTGAACTTTGTTTAGAAGTTCGTCAGAAAGCTTGATCTTTCAAGTCAAAGTTGATGCTGCCTAAAACTTTATATATATGCTAAGACAACTGGCTAAGACGGGTCTCTTTGTTGAAATTATTTTGATGCTTCTTCAGGAATCTTTCTGTTTTGTGGATTCTGAAATTGGAAAGTGTTTTGAGATGCTCTATCTTTACAGTCGCGTTTTCTTTTCTTTGATTATAGCAGTAACTTTTCATTCTGGATCCTGATCCAGGCTCCATTTTTTCCTCCTTAGTTATTTAATATTTGTTAATGGGACTTGTTATTACATCGTCATGCCAACATTTTTGAGCTGTCTTTTATAATGACTTGGAGAGATTTTGAAAGTCATGTAGAAACTGAGTATCTTGGTCTAATCTATACATTAAATATGTTGGAAACCTGAGGCAGGCAGACTTTTACTTAAGGGAAGATACAGTAACGTTTTAGGCATGGCAGGGCCACAGGGTCTGTGTCGAAGCTGTGTACTCAGCTTCCACGTTGTAGTGTGGAGACAGTGACAGACCATGTAGAAACAAATGCACATAATTCTGTTCCAGGAAAACATTGTCTGTGCCTGCTGACATTTGAACTTCATGTGATTTTTATGTCGTAAATGGTATTTTTTATGGCACAGCCTGTTTAGCTGCCTCTTGGGATGCCTGCATCCCGTATCGGAGTGCCCGGCTGGAGTCCCAGCTACTCCGCTCTTCCAGCTGAGCTTCCTGTTGGTGCACCCAGAAGGCAGCAGATGGTGGCCCGGCGCTTGGGTTCCTGCTGCCCGGGGAGGGGACCCAGGTGGAGTTTCAGGCTCCTGGCTTTGGTCTGGCCTAGTCCCGGCTATTGTGGGCATTTTGACAGTGAGCCAGGGGATGGAAGGAAGATCTCATGCTCTGTGTCTCTCCCTTCCAAATAAATAAGTAAGTAAATCTTGTTTAAAGAAGTGTAAGATTTATTCTTAGCTTACGGTTTTACTAAAACAGACGTCGGGTCTGATTTTCTTTCTGTCTCAAGAGCCTCCTAACTTCTTTATTTTCCCCTGTTGTTTGGAATTGGTTCTAGTCTTCCACCATTTTTATTTGTTTATTTTTTAAAAAAATTAATTAATTTTAGAGACAGAGAGGATGAGTTCTCATCTGCTGGTTCATTGCTCAAATGCCTCCAACAGTAGGAGCTGGACCTGTCCTGAGTTAGGAGCAGGAGCCAGCAGTTCCAGCCAGTGTCTCCCATGTTATTGGCAGGAATTCAGTGACTCGAGCCACTCAACTGACTTCCAGGCTCTGCATTAGCAGCACGTTGGCACTGGACTAAGGTGCTTCAGGTGTGTGGGCACCTTAACTGCTTGGTTCAATAATACCCATATCCTATTTTTTTTTAAATATGTTGACTTCCAGTTCATTTGAACAACTTGCTCATACTTCTCTCAGACCCTTTTGATTGGTTTTTGCTTTGAGATGTAAAGCTTCTTTTTTAGATTTATTTATTTATTTGAAAGAGTTTAGAGAGCGGGACAGACACAGAAAGAGAAAGAACTTCCATCTGCTGGCTCACTCACCTGTGGCTTCAGTGCTGAAGCTGGGCCTATCCGAAGCCAGGAGCTTCTTCCAGGTCTCCGCATGGGTGTAGGGGCCCAAGGACTTGAGCCATCTTCCTCTGCTTTCCCAGGCCATAGCAGAGAGCTAGATTGGAAGTAGAGTAGTCAGGACTGGAATGACACTTCAGTATGGGTTATCAGCATCACAGGCAGCTGCTTAACCTGCTTACTCACAGCACTGGCACATTTAATAGACTTTTTTTTTTTTTTAAAGATTTATTTATTTATTTGAAAGGTCGAGTTACACAGAGAGGGAAGGATAAGCAGACAGAGAGAGGTCTTCCATCTGCTGGTTCACTCCCCAGATGGCCGCAAGAACCAGAGCTGCACTGATCCGAAGCCAGGAGCCAGGAGCTTCTTCCAGGTCTCCCACGTGGATACAGGGGCCCAAGGACCTAGGCCATCTTCTACTGCTTTCTCAGGACATAGCAGAGAGCTGGATCAGAAGTGGAACATCTGGGACTTGAACCGGCACCCATGTAGGATGCCAACACTGCAGGTGGAGGCTTTACCTGCTATGCCACAGTGCCTGTCCCTTAATAGACTCTTAAACCAGAGAATACATCTTAGGAACACATGGCATATTTATAAAAATGTCATGTGTTAGGCTCTAAAGTCTGTTAAATTTCAGAAAATTATAATATACAAATATTATATATATGAAGCAGTTAACTTTGAAATAAAATAGATGTATGCATATATAGAGATTTGAAAATCAATTATTTGTAAATTTAAAAATAACTATTGAATTTTATTCATGGGTCAAAGAATAAACTATAAAGGAAAAAAAAACTCTGAGTGAATGATTATGAAATCATTGTATATCCAAATATGTGAGATATATATTGGTTAAGGTAGTATCTGAGGGAAATTTGCAACTTTAAATTCATATGTTATCAAGTGAACCCACTGAAAGTAAATAGCAAATCATCACCTCAAACAATTAAATTTGTGCGTCCAAAGATAGTTGGAAGAAAGCAGTGATGCAAGGAGCAGAGATTTGTGAGGCAGAAGACAGAGGGACAGTTGGAAGGATCAATACGAGGCCAAGCCCTTTGCAGGCATAAGTGATTGTAGCAGTACGTGCTGCAGGCGACAGAAGGGCACGGTTATGGATACATGAGAAACTGTGGCGAGAAAACTCTATGTGAGTAAATGTGAAATTTGTGTCTCACGAAGAAATTGTGGGCTGGAGTAGTCATATAACCAGGAGAAAATTGAACCAGTGGTTATTATTTTTTTTAAAGATGTATTTATTTATTTGAAAGGCAGAGATAGAGAGAGAGAAGGAGGGAGAGCAAGGTATCTTCCATCTGCTGGCTCACTCCCCAAGTGGCCACAAGGACCAGAGCTCAGTCGATCTGAAGCCAGGAGCCACAAGCTTCCTCCTGGTCTCCCACCTGGGTGCAGAGGCCCATGAACTTGGGACGCCTCGAATACTTTCCCAGGTGTTAGCAGGGACCGAGATTGGAATTGTAGCAGCTGGGACTCTATAACCAGAGCCCATAGGGGATGCAGACATTGCAGACTTAACCTTCTATGCCATAGTGCTGGCGCCTGATTATGTTTTTTTTTTTTTTTTTTAACATAAGAAAGCACCAGGCCCAGTTTGTAGATGTTAAGGATGTGTGTTTCAGATGTCTTAGCTAACTTGTCAGGAGCAGACCACTACAATCTTACATAGACTGTTCCACTGATGGTAGAATGAGATTTACTGCTGAAACTCACTGGTTTCAGGCTAGTATCACCTTTATAACCAAATTTGACAGAAGCAGCTGAATAAAGGAATATGAGGAGCTGGTCTCCCTGTGAGCATAGCAGCAGGTTATTAAAAAAAAAAAAAAAAGACTAAGTTGGATTTACCCAGCAATACAAGGGTAGTTTCTATGGAAATGTTAGAAAATATTAAATTTAATTCTTGACATTTGCCAATTAAAAAAATAATGTTCACTTCAGTAGTTCAAGAAAAAGTATCTGGGAAATGTCAACATCTATTCTTAGGAAAAGCTCTCAGTAAACTAGGATTAGAAGGAAACTTTCTTAGCCTGATGAAAACTGTTTCTTGATAGTTAAATGTTAGAAGCCATCTCCTAAAGTCAGGGACAAGATGAGAGGTTCCATTCTTACCACCCCCGACCAACATAGTT